ATCCATCCATCCATCCATCCATCCACCATCCGTGCCTCATTGATCATTTGTGTAACCATCTTTTTATCCATCTTTATTATATTTTTGTAGATTTGTATAAATTCCCTGACCTTAGAAACATGGTTGTTGTTTTTTTGTTTATAAATGCTAAATGGTCATTAATTGAGTATTCATTCAAATTGACTCTAGAAACCAATTTAATTTAGCAAAAAAAAATTATTTGGGCTGCAACGACTATTTTGCAAATCGATTGATCTGACCATCTTTTTATTTTTTTGATTAATAATCAAATAGCAAAAGGCTCCTCAAAGAGGATTTTATGAAGAATTTAAACAAAATGAAGCTAAAACTATGCTGTAGGAGGAGATCTGTACATAGCAGATTGCCAGACAAAAAAGGATTATTTATATTTAATTAAATTTTTTAAAGTTTTCCCACAACATTGTTATAATTACTGCTCTGAATGGTCTGGCCTAGTTTACTCCAGTGCAGTTTATACAGAATTTAAACAGGTGAAGCTAAACTTATGCTACTTGAGGAGTTATTAATAGAACATACTGAAAGAGGAAAAAGGCTTTTAATCTTAATAACAGAATTTTTTATTTATTTTTCTTTTAAATGTTGGTATAATTATTGCTATGAGTGGGTTTTTCTTTTAGCTAATGGGATAATTTTAATAATCTTTATACTAGTAAATATGTTGATGACAATTTAAAAATATTAATTGCTTCCGCATGATATTTGATGCAGGAATATGGCTTCATTTAATAAGCATTATATAGTTTTTAGCAGAGTAAAATGACTGCTATGATTGCTTCTAGCTCACTGGGTTCTATGACTATTGCTGCCAGACCAGTGAGTAAAGAAGTGTAGGAATAAAGGGAATTTTGTGTCTGGTTTCCAGCTCTAATAACTACAACCTGCTGCTGAGAGTCTCTCTCAGTTGTTAGTCTTTGACCTAAACTTGGAAAAGCAGGAGAAAATTGATGAATACAAACTGCCTGTAATGAAAAGAAAACTATTTATGCGTCCAGACTGCTAATCCATGTTTCCTGATTAGATTAGTGTAATGATGTTTTAAATGAAACTGATCTATCATCTTTTGTGTCGTGATGCAAACTTTGGTGCTTTGTAACTTTAGGCTTCCTGCCCGTCGTCAAGATGCAAGAGAAAACAAAGCAAAGATCCACAAACATTGTTGTGGTTTTGTGTTAATTCCTTTCAACTCCTTATTTCAACAGAGCCGTTGCTCCTCCTCTCCTCCAGGCTGCTGATCTTCATCTGCAGACGTTGCCAATGCAATGACTCTTTTTGGACGTTATCATGGTTACCCGTAATCCTGGTGACCCGTCAGTCTGGTGCCATCCTTCTCTGCTCCTGTGCAGTCAGTCGAGGCGATGCATGTCATGGGCAGCGTCTCCCCGGCCAACAACGTCGAAGGGTTATCCTTTAACCAGGACGTAGCTGTTGCTGAAGCAATGTCGCCACCTTCCTCTTTGACATTTTCACACAACAGTAAAAATGGGGCGAGACTACAAGACAGTCCTGCACCTCCTCCTCCTCCGCCTCCTGCTCCCCTTCCTCCTCCACCGCCTCCTCCTCCTCTGCTACCAACAGGAGGAGGACTGAAGAAGAAGAAGAGGGTGAGGAGCTTCTTCTGGAAAACGATTCCAGCGGAGCAGGTTGGGTTAAAGTGTTGCTAGAACTCAGTATTTGTGTGAAGCTGTGAGAACCAGCCTCACACCAGTGAACTGCCTGTTTCAGGTCAAAGGTCACGCCAACCTTTGGACTCAGGGTCAAGTCCAGCAGGATTTCCAGATCGACGTAAAGAAAATCGAGGAGCTTTTCACTCAGAACGACGGCCCGCCGGCCTCCAAGGCCACGCCCACCAGAGGAGGGAAGACCCGGTTGTCGTTCAGGGAGGCTAAAGACGAGGTTTGGTTCTTCTTATTGTTTGTTAAAGACTTTTGGTTGCTTTATGGCACGACTCTAACTGTCCCTTCCTTCACACCAGGTCTCCATTCTAGACGCCAAACGAGGGCTGAACATCTCAATCTTTCTAAAACAGTTCAAGAGGTAAATCGTTAATCAAAGGACGAAAACATTTATCTAACCTGAGGATGCTACTCAGTCAGAGAAACAATGACAACCCTCGTTTAAGAAGATCGCAACCATCTATACCACTTCCTAGAAGAAAACAAGATTATCAAATTGGTTTAAATTATACATCCCTTTATTCCTAGAGGTGGTGTTCATTTAATCTGAGTCACTGACTAATCAGAAGATCGTACCTGTTTCTGATAAAGCTCTGGGGTGACAGCGTGACTCAGGAAGTGATGGTGCGTTGCGTCTCGTCACCCTCATCCCGAGGTGTTGTGGGTAAAAACAGATGTGGTGATGCTGCTTCTGTTATGGGGGAATGCAAACAGACGGATGCTAACAACATGTGATCCGCAGTTATGTCAGAAATGTGGAATCCTCTGCAACACGCACAAAAGCAGACCGATTACCACCCCCAGATATTAAAAACATAAAAGAGTCAGTTTTTTTCCAATCCTACTAGATGACAAAGATTAAAATTAAAATAGAAAACCAACCAATATCTCCTATTGATTTCTCATTTCTTCCTGCGTTGTCCTCCTCTCTGACATGCCTGCATGCCAATGTCTGGACGGACTTGTTAAAAGAGGAGCTCTGCTTGTAGAACCAGTTTTTGCTGACATAACCTGACATAGATTTGTGATTGTAAAGGCCAAAGCATGACCCCTCAGTGTTTATAGGAACAACGGACAGACGGTAGTGAGTATTAGTGTCAGTGTGACGTCTGGATCTGATCTTACAGAAGGGAGAGTTAATAAAGGTTTGACCGTTCCCCACCAAATATCACCCAGTGCCTCCTCCGAGGTTCTTCCTGTTTTCCTCCTCTAATCATCCCAGCATTCCTTCGCTGACCTTGTCCTCCGTCGACCCGAGTCAACCCTATTATGTAGTCAGTTCTAATCCTTTCCAATTTTGTTCCTTCTCGTAAAAATATGAACATCTTAAGCTCTGCCTCCTTTCTTGCTACGTTTACACAACCATCTCCATATTGTACATCAAGGCACGTCTCACTTTGTTACAATCTATTCTTTCTTTTACTTTCTAAGCTACGGAGCCCCTCTGATGACATGGTCAAAAAAAATTTTTAATTGTGGCCACGAAGTTGTATTTCGTGCGCATGAAGTAGTATTTCGTGGCCACGCAATAAGTATAACGTGCGCACGAAATACTACTTCGTGGCCACGCAATAAGTTTATCGTGCGCACGAAATACTACTTCGTGGCCACAATTAAACATTTTTTTTGACCATGTCATCAGAGGGGCTCCGTACTAAGCATCCTTCTGTTTGCAGAGGTTAGCCGTGTTTTAGTCCTTTAGTCATGTATGAAACGGCAGGACAATATACAGTATATGATATTGGTAAATAGCAACTATTGTCCATCACAGCAACACTAATTGATTGATTGATGTTGATTTAATGGATCTGTATATGTATATACATATCTGTATATGTATGCATATATATATATATATATATATTTATTTTTTTTTTAAGTAGAAAAGGAAAACACAGAGCCGACGTAACAGGCTGCTGCATGCACACCGCTATCTATGAAACTAAAGCTGAAAGGTCAGGGTTTTTAAAATGTAAAATCCAACGCAGCCTAGAACCATCCAAACATTTGGTCGCAGGCAGTCTACAAGGTCAAAGGAAACATGATTAGAAATAAAGGAATAAAGGTTAAGTGGTCACCATTTCAACATAGAATCCAATCTGAAGCTATCAGGAAACCAGTCTGTTCCAGGGTTACAGGTTGAGAGTTCAGAATAAGCGATGTTCACATAGAGACATGGCTGAGGTGGGAGAGTGAAACCTGACCGCTACTGCACAAGGAGCATCAATTAAAACAAGACTGGGCTGAGAAATACTTCTAAGGTTCTATGGCTGGAGTCCATCTGGGTGGAGGTGTGGTGCTGGTTTACTCAGGGGTCTGCAACCTGCGGCTCCGAGGGCCAAAAGTGTCTCTTTGGACCTTTAGGTATGGCTCCTAAGAGTGGTTAAAACTCTTAAAGAACCAGCTAAAGGTTTTAAATATGGGGTAATTTTATAGGCCCTTGTTTGAAGCAAAATTGTTGATTTTCTAAACAGAATGAAGATTTTTTTTGATCACTTTTATTTGTCTGGGCTCAGGGAAAAATGGCTCTTTGGATCTGAAAGGTTATAGAGACCTGAGCTAGTTGGACTTTATTGGGTTAAAGATGGACTGAAACCCTATAGGCAGTTGGTCCACATCTATTCAAGAAGATTGTTGGGGCTGGGTGATAAATTTCATTTGCAAAGAATCACGGTTTTTAAGAAAATGCTAAATTCTGGTCCCGTTACATTTAACAAGACTATGAGACTAGTTTTTTCTTATTGCAGCACTTTAAGTTGCTTTAGTAGGTTTTAAGCGGGTTTGCTTTTACGAAAAAGGGAATAAACATTCTAGTGTGCAGATCCATGCATGCAAGTCGAAGTAATCACTTCTCCAAAAGAAGATAACAGTAAAGTCCTGCAATAATGCTTTGAAATAAAAAAACCCATATACCCTGGAGTGAAACATCATGGTTCTGCTTAGTGCAAAGGAAATCAAAATCGCAATATTGGTTCAAAATAATCACAATTTCGATTTTTGGCACAATCGTTCAACCCTAGTAGCCAGTAAGAGCCATAAAGAAGAAATAATGACATATCCCCCCACCCTTTACAGGAGATTCATGGTTAAGTAAAGCATAAAATTGGTCCAAAGGTGTCAGTTCTTGCTGCTGCACACAGAGTTCATCATTAGCAGATCCAGATTCCATAAATGGGAGGCCCTTTTTCTCACTGTTAGATGAAAATGATAACCTGAGTTCTGCACCAATAACCTGAGAAAACAGGATAACATGTCCTGAACATGTTTACTATGTTCAGACCCACTGCTTAGTAAACAGAACACCTACAGCTGTGAGGGAGGCACACAACCATAAAGGAATCAAAAGTAAACTTATGCTGTCGTATAGAGCCAAGAACATGTTTGAAGTCATCCTGTTTCTCTATATTTGGCTCCAGATAAGCTCCTTGAACTTTTATTTTTATCTGTCAGAATGTGATCGTTTTATTTGTACGGTTTACGACTCATTAACACATCGAAAAGTGTCATTTTAGCACATTCAGAGTGTAATTTAACACTGTTAATTAAATAAAGCATTTTCCCCCACAGGTCCAATCAGGCAATAGTGGATGACATTCACCATGGCAACAGTGAATCATTTGGGGCGGAGCCTCTGAGAGAGCTGCTGAAGCTGCTTCCAGAGAAAGAGGAGGTGAAACTGAGAAACATCCATCAGCCTGCATCAAACACAAACAACCTGACTTCCAGAAAATGTAGAAAGTCTGTGTTTCATCTGTAAATGTGTGTGAGCAGTGATGATGGAATAACTCTGGGTTTGTTCTGCTGAAGGTGAAGAAGCTGAAGGCGTACCGAGGCGACGTCTCTAAGCTCTCATTGGCCGATTCCTTCATCTATCTGCTGACTCAGCTGCCCAGGTGAGCTTGTATTATTTTTACTTTATCAAATTAAAATCAGGAGAAAAGAGGGACGAGCTTAAAAGGCAACAACTTTAAAATGATTTGACGTTGCTCACATGCTGGACTCTGAATGAGAGGAAATGTATGAGTTCATGTCATTTTAAAGTTGATTAGTCGTTTAAAGCTGTTTCAAGTTGCAGAAAACAGCTTCGGATACATATATGATGCACACAAACTTCACCTAATGCAGGGCTCGATGTTTAACACTGGTCGATCTCACAGGGCAAGTAGTTTTTATTGTTGGGAGAGTACAAAAATTTCATTGCATTTTCCCGCCGGGCACGTGCAATGATCGCAAAAAAAATTATTTATCAATCAAAATTACTTTGAAATCACAGACATTCGACCCAGAAGCGTTGCCGGCGCCATTTTTGTTGTTTTGTACACATTCTCGCGTGATTTGAAAAAGCCGCGTGATTTTCCGCCAGATGGTGTGATTTTTGTCCGGAATTGGCGCGAATCAGACACATTTTTTTTGACTTGACGGCTAAAAAACAACCACAAGGGAAAAAAATGTAAGTACAGTAACACACCCACCCCCACATAACCTTAGATTAAAAATTATCGGTCAGGGTTTAGGAAAATTGACATAATTGTATTCCATGCGCACAGTTTAAATATTTCTATCATATGGCAGTCTGCTGTACAGTGATGCAGGTCATACTGTATATTAAAAATGTTCATTAAATTTTTCTCTCTTAGACATTGGAGAGGTGCATTTAAATGTTATAGAGCTAAACATGTTAAATTGGTGACCTGCTATGTTATTATTATTGTCTTGTTGCTGCATTTATTTTGTCAGGGAAAACTAATCCTGAGTCAGTTAAAAATCGGGGAATTCTGAAATTATGTCAGACTGTAGAAACCCTGTATAAAATAACTATGTATAATGATTCTCTAGAAAAATCACATTATATTAATAGTATCATCTTGTATAAACATACCGTGACTCTAAAATAAAAGTTATTCATTTGTGACATTGACTTCTGTCTTGTGATTTATCTTCAGTTTTTAACCTGTCAAGTTTTTTTTAGATTTTTAACATTACAATTTATATTTTCCAAGCACACAACAGTTTAAAGCAAAGTTTAGTTTGAAAAGAATGTGCAGGAAGGATTGAAAAGCATGTTAACACGGTAATGGAGGCTACAGTTCATTATCTGACGCATGCAGATACACACCAGGAACCTGGAAACTTACAAAATACTGAATTACAAAAAACATTTAAAAAAACAAACATGTTTCATTGATATATATACAAAAATGAATATTAGGAACTATATTTATCAAACATTATACTGGGCAAGTAAAAATTGTTTCTGGGCAAATTAAATGTGAAAGTCACTTGCCCAAAGGGCAAGTGCTAAAAATCCTTAACGTTAACCCCGGTAATGTAAATACGCTGCTGTTTTTTAATATCCGTAAAGCTTACGACCGCGTTTTAAAAACACATGGAGGAAAATGTACCTTTTTTTTCCTTCCAACGTTCTTTTCTGCATGTTAAAGATGTCTTTGCAGAGGGTCTGGTCCCATTTTGTGTTCCATGGGTGTACCTTGAAACTTTACATGTTGGCTACCATATGGAGCTGTTAAGACTGGAAAAAACTGGTTTATAAAATGTAAAATATACATTAAGATATATATATATAAAAAAAACTTTACATTAAGAATTTTAAATAGATTTGAAATATTTATTATTTTTGGAATACCTTCATTATCAGTGACAGACTGCTGCACCCTAAATGCACCAGGAAGTGTTATCACAGATCCTTCCTCCCAGCAGCTTTAAGACTCTATAACCATCACTGTTCCCAACAAGCTATATAAATTGTTACATTCTTTAAACAGTTTCTATCTTAGTCTCATAAATAACCTGCTGCTGTCATTTTGCACGTCTCTGATGTTGCTGCTATTTCAAATATCCATTACTGTAAAAATGTCCATAGCTGGATATTGGTTATTTATTCTCTAGGCGCACAGTTTTATATTGTTAAAACGCTCTACAGTAGAGTATTTTAATGTTTGTCTATTTTCAATATTATTTTTGCTGCTTTAAACACAGAATGTCCCCATTGTGGGACAATAAATGGATTTTCTGTTCTATTCTTTTCTATTTTACTCTATTTTCTATTCTATGATGGTATTTAGCTAAACGTATTAAGCATTTGATCACTAATCGAGTAAATGTGCATTTATGAAATAGAATAGAAATATAGTTTATTGTCTGCAGAGGTTCAGGTGTATCAGCAGCAAAGTGTCAGGTTGATGGAAGCAAGCAGATAAAGATGAAGCAAGCAGAAACAGGGCTGCATCATTTCAGGAAAAACCCGTTTGTGATAAAGACAAGTTCCATTCAGGCAAGGCAAGTTTATTTATAAAGTAAATTTCAGTACGAAGACAATTCACAGGGCTTTACGTGAATTAAACAGTCAAATAGAAGCAAAATAAAAGCAAATAAAGATAAAAAAAAACATGATAAACGCAGGTAGTAAAACAAATAAAAAAGTTGGACCACAACCTTAAACTAATAATCCTTCAGTTAGCAGTTTAAATTCAACAGCCAGCTCTGAAAGAATAGGTTTATAATTTAGACTTAAAGTCGTAGGGAAGCCATATTTAAATGTGAAATCATTCTGGCTTAAACATGTATATAAATGTACTCTTTATCAGATGATATTGTCCCAAAAGTTAGAAAATTTCTATTTAAAAAAAAAAAAAATCCTGTCTTAAAATCTGTTTTTTTTTTTCATTATCTTATGCAGGCCAGTTAGTTATACGTCAGCTTGTACGCCTACATTTGGCCAATCACATATCAAATGTCAGCTGTCAATCAAATTTTCTCAGTCATAGCATCTTGATTCATATGTTGGAGCTAATAGACGCAACGATTGAAATAAGACATCAGAATCCTTTCCTTTCTCATTGAGTTCAGTCCCAGTGTTCACAGGGATGGACGTCTGTGTCTTCAGCAGGCGTAGAGCTAACAGAACTGGCAGCGTTGCGAGGCAAGGGCTCAAACATGTACGGCTG